AGCCTGGCCTTGAATTCACTATGTAGCCTAAGCTGGCATGGAACTCATGGTAATCCTCCTGCCACAGCCTCTTGAATGCTGGGATTACAGTTACATACCACCACACCCGGCAATTTAAAATATTTTAAAAACAAGTTATAGTATATTGAGTAAATTATGCAGTAAGGCCTATTTCAACAGGCTATTTTAAAAATAAGTACAACACTGTATATAGTATACTACATTAATGTAAAAACCACTACAACCAGGAAGGGTGGTACATGCCTGGATGAAATTTCAGGCCAGCATGAGCAACATACTGAGGCCCTATTCAAAAAATAAAAACAAAACACCACACACATCTCCCTGTATGATATACAGTATATACACAAGATGCCTAGGTAAGAAATAGGTTAACAGTAGTTGAATCTGAAAAGAAGCTAGTTGGTGACAGTGTAGGAGATAAACCTCTTATTCGCTTTAATACTTTTAGAATTGTGAATTACAGAACTGCACAAATTATACATTCAAAAATGTTTTAATTATTATTTATTTTTAAATCTTTTACTTTTTAATGCTCAATTTCATTCTACCTATTTGACTCATAGAGAAAGGACAAGCCAACTGACATTTAACATTAATCATTCATTTCTCTATGATTTCTTCTTTTCTAATCATGAATTCTGTTGGTTTTTTTCCTAATTGTGAATTTTGATAAATACCTTCTACTAGAAACTTTTTTCATCAGCTAGGTACAGTGGCATACGCCTGCAACCTCAGCTACCTGAAAGGCTGAGGCCCAAGCATGGAAATTCAACAGCAAACCTGGGCAACTTAAAGACCTCCTTCTTTAAAAATAGAAATAGGGATATGGGCTGATGGTTAAGCAAACACCTATCCTGTGTGATATCCTGGAGGCCCTAGAGAGGGAACATAACAGGTGCACTGCAACCAAAAGAAAACCACAGGTGCTACATGCAAGAAGTTTTAGGGTTCTAAGAGAACGCAAAGCAGTACACCGTAACAATAGAACAAGAACTCTGGGCACAGATATTTTGGACTTGATACCCAAGGCAACTTACTCAATTACTTACTACCTCTGGGATTCAGTTTCTTGTTTTGAAATAAGGATATAGAGGTAGTTACTTTTATTCTATATGTTTAATATGAGGATTAGATCAGTTAATGCTCATAAATGGTTTCAACAAGTGCTTGACATACGGTAATGAAGATTTAGTAAAGGCCATTGTAATTGCAGTGAGAAAGTAACCTAGAAAGATTGTCAAGGATAACAATGAAGAGCTCTACTGAGGCTAATGCTGCTTGCTCACCTATAATCCCAGCTACTCAGAAGGTTGAGGATGGAGATCACCAAATTCAAGGGCAGCCTGGGGTATTTATTTTTTTATTTGATTTTTTTTTAAGACATGGTCTTGCCATGCAGTTCAGGCTGGCCTCAAACTCACAATGATCCTCCTGCCTCTGCCTAATGAGTGCTGGAATTACAACCATGTACCACCACACCTGGCCTCAAACTAGGAATGGTATAATCCCAAATATTCTGGGAGGCTGAGGCAGGAAGTTCACAAATTCAAACCCAATCTGGGCAATTTAGAAACTTGGACCTTGTCTCAACAAACTTTTAAAAAGCTGGGGATATAGCGCAGTGTGAAGGCCTTGGGTTCAATCCCTAGTACCAAAAAGCAACAACATAAACAAAACTAAAAAGGACTGAGAATACAGCTCAGTGGTAGAGTGCCCTTGGGTTCAATTCCCAGTACGGGAAAGGAATTCAACAAGGAAAATTACTATAAAAATCATGTAAGTGGTGAAACATCCCTTCCCTTCCACATTGCCAGTAGAACACAAACTCATCTTATCAGGCTCCTCCTCTCAAATTTTCCAAGACTCTGGTCCTGCTTATATAAAGGCCTTTTTCAGTATCACTCCAATTTACCTTTACAGTCACTTGACTAACCTATTTTCTAAATTCTCTTCAACAAATATATGTACTTCATATTTTGTAGATATAAATATCTCAGTGTTGTCAATACTCTGATAATACTACACCTTTCTGGTTCTCTCCTTTTCTCATGTTTAACTAGAAATCTAATATTGTTTGTTATAGTTCAAGACATCCTAAATTAGTTTAGTCTCTTCCCAACTGCACTGCTACAAAATCTTCAGAAACTTGCAGATGATAGACTTCTATATCAATTCAAACATGTATTTTTCCTCCTCCTATTTCAAAGCTTATCCTTTCCTCTAAAGTGCTATGCTAAAGCCCCAAATTCCCTTTATAAAATGGAAAGATTTTTAAAGGCACAGTGGCATGTGCTTATAATCCCAACCACTTGGAAAGCAGGGGAAAATTAAAAGTTCAGTTTTGTTTTCTTGTTTTTGTTTTTATTTTGTCATGCTAGGACCCTATAGGGAAGAGCTCTACACTGAGCCACATCCCCAGTCCCAGGGAAGATTACAAATTCAAGGCCAGCCTGGACAATTTCTCAAAATTAAAAAAAAAAAAAAAAAAAATGTATGTAAGATTCTGGGTTCAATCCCCAGTACCAAAAAAAAAAAAAAAAAAAAGTTTTTAAAAGCAAAAAAAACCTAAATCAAACCAAAAGTCAAGATCACTCCATCAGGACCACCACTATAACCAAACATTAAATATCTAGCAGTCGGAATTTAAAGCATGGATTCTTAACCAGCGGTCCATGGATTCCTTAGGGCTACAAGGTAGTTTTATAAATCCCCTCAAATTGCATGCAAAGTATATGTACATGCCTTTTTTGGGGGAGGTGGTCCATACCTTTCATCAGTCTCAAAGATATCTGTGACCTCCAAAAGGTTAAATGTTCTAGAGAAAAAGCAAAGACAGGCAAATGTGATTAAAGAATGAGTCCTGTTTGGGTCCTAAGGAATGCCTCATGTTCTTTGTATCAAAATCAGGTCAAAGAATAGTAAAACTGACTTACCCAATCAAAAGCAAATTTAATACAGACCTGATTACTACTGACTTGATGGAAGGACAAAGTCCACAAACCAATACAAGAATCCATAAATACAAATTATAGGGCTGCTGACTTTCTCCAAGATTTCAAAAATGGGACAGAAAACTTTTATCTCATTCATCTAAAAATTCCTTTTCTATTTATGTTTTATACCCAGCAGCTCAAAAGTATGAAAATTATATAAATACATATGAAGTAGTTGCTCAATTTTTCTTCTTACAGTAAATATGAGATCATTCATGTAACCTACACATTCCAGTACCAAGAAGTTCATAGTTACTCTGGAGTAACACAAAAAGTGCAGTTTAGAACCCATCAGTTAAATATAACTGTTTTCACAGAAAGCTAAATTACTATCCTCCAATGATTAAAAATAGGATCTCCTGTCAGGTGTGCAAGACACACCTGTAACCCCAGCACTTGGGAAGCTAAGTCAGGACAACTGCCAAGTTCAAGGCCACTCTGGGCTGTACAGTGAAACCAAGCCCAGCCTGAATTGCATAGTGACACCCTGTCTCAAAAACAAAAAACCAGGCTGCGGATATAGCTCAGCAGCCTTAGTGCCTGCCTGGCAAACACCAAGTTTTTAGTTCTATCCTCTGTACCAAAACAAAACAAAAAAAAAAAACCTCTTCCTACAATTATTCCACTTTTTGTTTGTTAAAGGTCATCAAGCATTAAAGTTTAAAAGACAGATTTTTAATTTCACCTAAATCAGCCTGGTTTGTCAAAGGTTCTAGGGATAATGTAACCAAAATATCCAATGGGAAAACTACTTGTGATACCACAAAGAGCCAACTAATCAAGATACTCTCTTAATTTTTCCTAAAAGAATCTACCCTCCAACAGAATAATAATCTAAACATAAGAAAGCTACCCAGATTTCTAAAAGGCACAATTTAAAATACAGGTAACTCCTATGAGTTCAGTGTCACCCAGTGGTGACATCAAGAGATGCTGGGTCTAACCACGATATCAAACAGATATCCTAACCTTGGAATTGGTTTTCCAAAATACTACAGTTATGATTTCTCTTTCTCTGGTGATTGAGGGCGTCCTGAGAAGGCTGGTGGGTAGCCTCGTGAGACAATTAAAAACTTTTAAAGCGGAGGTATTTACATTTCACAAATCCTTAAAAGTAGCCTCAACTCCTGACTTTTATGAAGAGGCCGCTCTTCTTCTCAGGCCTCTCTCCTTGGCTTCAAAATTCACCTAGGAGGCGTAACCCCACCTAGAATAAGGGAATAAAAGCGTTTTCTGGATGTTTGGGTTGTATTCAAATATAAACAGGCAAAATACTATCATCTGCTAACAAGGAAATCTCCACTTTGGACAACATACAGAAAAGCATCAATCTGAGAAGAAAGCTCGAGTCCTGCAGGGGCAAGGAGGAGAGACCACTGACGTAACGCAGCTTTGACAAGAAACGAGGAGGATAACAGGTAGAAGGCGCTTGTATAGTCCGCTGGAGAAAGGTACCAAACAACACAATGGTGAGGCGAGCCGAAATAAAAAGTAAAGACGGGCAAAAACAAAAAAGGGGAGACGAAATAGGAAATTATGGAAAAGCAGGCACCAAAGAACTACGGTGGAAGCCGGGAAACGAAGTGGGAAAGGCTGCAAGGAGAACCCGTAGAATAAGAAGCGGCAAGCTACCCCCTACAATTCAGTCCCCAAAGAAGCCCACCTCAATCCTTTCCCTGCCTCAGAGTACCTTCAGTTTATGAAGCTCCACCGTCTCTGTCGCCATCTTGTTGTCCCGCCACTCCGCCGGCCCCCACTCGTTTCCTCCGCCCCCAAGCGCTCCCGCCTAGGCATAGACCCAGGTCTCACCAATCGTTGCCGCTCTTACACCCACCACAATATCATTGGCTCTTCCCATTCGTCAATGGCCTGCGTCAATCCCACGCGTCTGGGCGATTTTGCCCAGCCCAAAAGGTAGGACTGAGAGAAGGGCGGGCTCTGCATGTTCCGAAGACAGAAAGCGTGACCAATTGTACTTTCCCACTGCCGACCGCGAGCCAATAAGTGGCAGCAGCGATAAACCTGCTCCTCCAATAGAAAGAGCATGCAGAGCAGAGAGCCGATTACTTCCTTGAGAGCACAGGTGTAAGAGAAAGCTCCTCGCCCCTGGCTGCACCTGCTCTTCAGGCTGGCAGGTAGGGGGTACCAATAAACTGGAAAAAGTTACTGGGGGTAAATGATGGGAGGCAGAAAGTGCGGCAGGAAAACGGAGAGTTAAACACCAAGAAGAGTGCCAAAGGGAGTGTGAAAGAAACTGAAGTGAAAGAGGGAAGCTGGGAGGGGCATGGGGCGGGGTTTAGGGAATTTTAGGGCGGGCGCATGTGCTTCAGCGATAGTGCTGTTTTTTTAAAGAGACAAGTTCAGAGAACGGCCGCGCTGAGTTTGGGTGGCTTTCTTCAATTCAGAAGCCGTGGGTAACTTCTTGTAGCGCCCCGCAGAAAAGTGGCAGTTTTACTTTCTCATCCCTTCTCATTGGTCTTGATTGGACCCGACTCTTTTGTAATTCTGGCCATATGGGATCTTTTCATGGTTCATTCCTGACTTCTTCAGGAAAGTTAAGTGAGATACTATTTACCCTGCTCCTTGAAGTGGTCGTCCTCAAAGCCCAAGCTTTCTCCTTCACGTTGCTGCTCAAGTATACGAATCAGAGTACGTACCCCAAAATTAGGAACAACACTTCTCACATTTCAAGCTTGTTTTTTGAGACAGGATCCTGAACACACTATATACTCCAGGCTGGCCTCGAATTTGGGGTGATCCTCCTGCCTGGCCTTCGGAACGCTGAGATTACAGGCATGCACCACCATGCCTAGCATCTTTTACTCTTTCCAGAACCTTTAGTTTTTTCTTTCCTTTCTGCATTATAGTGAAGTTCCCACTGAAGTTCTGTTCTTTTTTGGTTCTTTAGGGAGAAAACTGGGGGAAACACATTCCAACAGGGACTAAGAGGAAATTACGCTGGACTCCTACCTGATCTCCTAATTGTGATAGGATGAATGTGGGGGTGGCACACAGTGAAGTAAATCCCAACACGCGAGTGATGAATAGTCGGGGCATATGGCTGGCCTACATCATCTTGGTGGGACTGCTGCACGTGGTTCTACTCAGCATCCCCTTCCTCAGCATTCCTGTTGTTTGGACCCTGACCAATGTCATCCACAACTTGGTAAGTACAGACCCACACCCATGTACCCATCCCAAGCTTTTTCCCTGCCAAAAACAAAACCACCAGTTGTTTGAGGGTTTGTCTTCCTTTGGGGATTTAGTATAATTCTTGTGCTGTCCCTGACACAGACCCTTTCCTTCTTCTCAGGTAATGTATGTTTTCCTACACACTGTGAAAGGAACACCCTTTGAGACCCCTGACCAAGGAAAGGCTCGCCTGTTGACACACTGGGAGCAAATGGACTACGGGCTCCAGTTTACCTCTTCCCGCAAGTTCCTTAGCATCTTTCCTATTATACTGTGAGTTTGTAGAGGGTAGGGGAGGTGCTTGGTTAGCAGCAGCTCCAAAAATCAGGTGGAAAGGTCCATAGGAAAGCTTTGAAAAAACAGCCAGGCATAGTGGCACATGTCTGTAATCCCAACACTTGGGAGGCTCAAACAGGAGGATCACCTGGAGTTTGAGGCAAGCCTGAACTGCATAGTGAGACCCTGTCTCAAAAAACAAAAGAAAACTAAAAGCAACAGACTACCCATCTAAGTTCCTTTGAAGAATTGTAGTATATAGTTCTGAGCCTACAGAGTACAAGATGGTAATCAAGCACTCCTTGGTGTCCCTTAGTAATAAAGAAATGGAGAAGGGACTGAGAAAAGATGAAAGTAAAACCAAGTTTTACCTTCCCAAAAGAAGTGAGTAAATAAAGGTAGAACTAATAGAATCTTCAAAAACTGATTGTAGAGAGTGGAAGCAAAGAGGACTCCAACAGTTATATATGCTGAAACAGCTTTAGCTGTCATTTGTCATTAACTATTAACAAATACAGACTGGTTTATAGTCTTCAGTTAAAGGTGCTCTCTGATTATCTCAACCCCAAAGTAAAAATGAGGTTGATATAGCTGGAATATTTTCAGATATTCAAGAGCTACATGCAATAAAACTGACCCTTTGAAATAGAGGGTCACAAGAAAGCTGTGAATGTGTATAGGAAGGCCAACCTCATTTGACCTATTTTTTTCTCTCCCAGCTACCTTCTGGCCAGCTTCTACACTAAGTATGATACTGCCCACTTCCTCATCAACACTGCCTCACTATTTAGTGTACTGCTGCCTAAATTGCCCCAGTTCCATGGGGTCCGTCTTTTTGGTATCAACAGATACTAAGGGATCAGACTGAGGACAACCCCATAGACACAGAGAAGGCACTGGAATAAAGGACTAAACACCTTTCCCTTCTTCAAACTATTTTTTGTTTCTTGAAAGCCTGAGAACAGTACAATCTTTCCCAAACTCAGAAAGAGAAGAAATCGGAAAATGCTACCATTGGATCCAGCCCTGCTAAGGGCAAGACTGAGTCAGGAAAGACAAATGAAGTTAAGAGGCACATCACTCCCTTATAACAAGAAGCCATATTTGGGCAATTTGTTTGATTACATTTTCTATGTTTTTTATCCCTACCACTTTCCTACTCTGTTTTACTGTGTATTTTCCTTATAATAAAGATAATTTTTTTCAACTATGACTGCAATTTGATCAGCAAGAAGGGTTGAGAAGCCATGTGATAGTGCATATATGTGATCCCATCACTCTAGGTAAGGCAGCAGGATTGCAAATTCAAGGATCCTCAGTGAGACCCTGTCTCAAAATAAAAAATGGCTGGAGATGTCAAAGGCTCTGGATCCAATCCCCAGTGTTGGGGGAAAAAAATAGGGAGGATGTTCTCATAATGCTGAGAAGGAAAGATGGAATACTAGCTTACTACACAAAACTTCAAGCTTTTTTTTTTTTTGTCTCTTTGAGACAGGGTCTCTTTATGTGGTTGAGGCTGGCCTTGGGCTCACTTTGTAGCCCAGGCTGGTCTTGAACTTGTAGCGATCCTCCTATGTCAGCCTCCTGAGTGCTTGGATTACAGACATGCACCACCACATCTGGCTTCGAGCATTTTTTTATCCTTTGGCTCAGTAGTAGGTGCTCTTCACTTTCAGCTAACAGTAGGGAAGGATTATAAAGTGAGAAAAAGGGCCCCAACTATATGCACAAAAGAGAGGGAAGATACAGGTTGCCAGTTATATGTTTATACAAAGATAATCCCCTGGCTTTAAATAGCTATGTACATACAAATATGAACAAACTTAAAAAAATACAAACCCTTGGACAACAAGGAGGCTTGTGAGAACTCCCCTGTCATTCTCCCTTACCCAAGGGCAGAGGACATGAGTCTGCTTTTTAAAAATTATTAATTTTGGCCATTCTTAGAACAATAAGCCTGCAGTTGGGTGATTTACCCACTATGTGAAAGCCAAGAAAAATTCAGTTTCTACTCTCTGAATTCTGTGCATCTCCAAAATCAGGGCTACATGCTTCCTTGTTCTGCTTGTTGATTAGTGCTATCAGAATAATGGAGACTCTTCCCTAAAATGGACCAAGAAATAAGAGACTCATAATTTAAAATGGATCATCTGCTCTAAAGGCAAATGACAAGACAAAGGCATACCAACCCCAGAGAAATAACACACTTCCCATCCCTCAGAGGAATATATTCTCCAGCCCAGGTCTGGGCCCCAGTTCTTTGCTCTAACCATCCCTATTTCTTTGGTAATGTCAGAAGACAAGATTCAGTTCCTGGGTGCCTGGGTTGGAGGGACTGGTTCAGGGGCCTCCTACAAGTACAAGTGAACAATTTAAGCTTAAATTTTTCCCTTTTTAAAAATCTTTAAAAATAAACAAATCAAACTCCATCCATCCTGTGCTGTACACATCCCTTTTGACTCCCTGACATTGATTTGAAAAAAGTAGAGACAGGGAGTCAACGCTGGAAGGGCCGCCTCACTTTCTTCCTCCGCTTGGGTTTGGCTTCTCCCTTGGGTACTGTGCTGCTGGGCTTGGAGGTTGCAGAGGACCCAGAACCAGGCCGAGGAGCTGCAAAGAAGTTCCCATTGGACATCTGGCCTGGGGGTACTTGAAAAATTCTGCTCAAGAAATCCTGAAGGTCAGCAGGAGGGGCATCTGAGGGGGCTCTAAGAAAAAAATAAAGCAAGAGATGTTTAAAAAGTTGCCTCTGTTAAAGATTATAGAGTGAATTCTTAAAACTTCTTCAAAGTGATACACTTACTGTATTTCCCCAAAATAAGACTGGATCTCGTATTAATTTTTGCTTCAAAAGATCTAACAGAGCTTATTTTCAGGGATGTCTTTTTTCTCGTGTAACAATCTACATTTATTCATGTACAAAAATTTAAATTTATTCAAATACAGTCATGTCATCTCCTGGAACATCGTAACTCTAGACACCTAATTCAAGCTTGAATTTCTTGCCACTCATAGAACCATTGGCCTCAATCTCTTAGATTCAGATAGACCTCATCTTTCATGAGTCCTACTTGTGTATGTAGCTTGCTTGTGGTGCATTATTAAAACTCACAACGAAGTGAATTATAAAGATTCACACGATATAACCATGTCCATTCACTACCAAATGTGCACGTTGTGCACTGTGTGTACTCCATTCATTGATAATCTCAAGTTCATCTGTTTATATAGGCATTTACCTCTCATCCAAAAATGTCCACTTGGGTATTTACAAATGATTATAACTTATATTACTATTTTTTAAGTATTAATGTCAAATTATATTTAATCATGCATTACTATTGTTTTGTCATACATTATGTGTCGCAACAGACATACTAAATGTATCCATCTGGCTGACAGTCTTAACTGAGACTTATTTCGGGGGAGAGCTTGTATCACCAGTATCCTTAAAACATCATGCAAGGACTTACTTTCTGATTAGGTCTTATTTTCAGGGAAATACTATTTGTGTCCTTAACAGAAGGTCACCTGAAACTAGAACAGTGCATGGATAATTGATAGAAATAATGCTTACCTCTGCCGACCACTGGTGCCTGGGATCCGAGAGCCAAATGAGATGTGATAGGGAACTTTGTGGGTATCAGGGGAGATTCCCACACGTTGACATCCAGCCCACTCTGCAAACAGAAAAGATAATTTGTCAAAATATAGCTTTGGGCCAGGTACGGTGGCACACGTAATCCCAGCACTTGGAAGACTGAGGCAAGAAGATCACTGTGAGTTTGAGGCCAGCCTGGACTACCTAGTGAACTCAGGGCCAGCTTGAACTACATAGTGAGATCCTGTCTCAAAAACAAAAAAAAAAAAAAAACACTTGGAGCACTTGAGATGCAGGAAGTATGATCCCATATTTCTCTAGATATGAAGTAATACCCCTGAGCCAGGTAGGCATAGTAACACATACCTATAATCCTAATACTCAGAAGGCTGAGGCAGGAGAGTTCAAGGCTAGTCTGAACTACCCAGTGAGACCTTGTCTCAAAAATACAAAAAAAAGTATACCTGTGATGTCATAGACCTTTCCATCCATTAGTGCAAAGTAGGTAATCTTGAGCCCCAACATGCTTGACTCTGCCCAAAAGTCTCCTTCTTCAGCAGGATGCAGCCTATTACACTCAGCACAGTATCTGGCACTCTTAGGTTCCCGGTCCATTTCAAACCTCCTACAACATAACAAAGGGTAGTTCCTTATTACTTTAAGTCTACTTAGGTCACTACTAGTAGTTTCATCATTACTGTGAAATATTACCAAAATATTTTAAATGAACTCCACTGTCACATATGCTTATATATATTCTGCCCTCAACTTTGTCTTAAAGCTAATCTTTTTTCTTGGTGCTAGTTTGAATCCTCAATCTTGAGAGTAGGGCAAAGTACAAGTCTTAGGATCTTTCTCATCATGCCCCACAATTATAAATAAAAGAAGAAAGGTCTTGGGTTATCTAGCGTCTAAACTGTGATCATCCCACCCTTGTCCTGTTTCATACCTATGCTTCCCTTGGCATCGACTACACATCATAGTATTCATTGCTTCCTTGAGCTCATCTTGCAACTTGGACAGAAACTCATTCACTGACCGGCTCAGCTCATTCTCTGCCATTCGTTTCCTAAAAGAAGAAAGACTTTGTTAAGTCAGATGATATTGAGGAAGCAACATATAAAGAACTCTATTCACTTCTTGAGGCTCCTTGATAGCTACAAAGACAGACATCAGTCTTCTCTGCCTCAGGGTTTCTATCCACAAGTTCATTGGCTTCTACTGAAGATTTCATTTCCCTCTCCCAACAGTTTCTCATCTAACTTACATCTCATATTCTTTCCGCCTTTCAGGGTTGCTGACAATGTCCCAAGCTGCCCTTAAAACCTTGAAGGCCTCCTCAGCCCCAGGATGATGGTTTTTATCAGGATGAACCTACCAAGACAAAGAGATTTAATCATAGATCACAAACAGATCTTTTCCCAGATCAAAGGGTTCTCTTTTATCACCATTTTAGAGACTCACTATAGCTTGATGATTAGTTACTGTGGCTCTGCAGACAGATCTGGGTTCAACTCTGAGCTGTCACTTAGCTCTGTAACTTTGAGGGGTTTTTGTCTTGTTTTGTTTCTGTTTTTTTGATGCCAGGGATCGAATTCACTACCTTGCATTTGCCAAGCAGGCACTTAGGCCACTGAGCTAAACCCCCAGCCTATAACTTTGAATATACTACCTATAATAGATTTTTGGGAGAATTAAATAACAACATGTATGAGGTATGTAAGACAGAATCTGGCACAAGAGTGATCCACCATTCCACTTGGCCTGCAACTGTCCAAAATTAGCACTGCAAACTCCCATGTCAAGAAACTCCACATCCCCCGGTTAACAGGGATGGTTGTTGTCATGGTTTATGTCTGTGTCCCCCAGGCCTCATGAGTTTGATTTGTGCATTTGTTATTCGTTCATTGTATAGTGCTTGGATTGATGGTGTTAATGCTACACCCACCTAGGGGTGGAGCCAGGATGTGATGTAATGGCAGAAAGGTGTGTCTTGCTCTTTGCTGGTTCAAGCTTGCTGTTTGCAGTCACCATAAAAGGCGGGGCAGGCATGCCTGCCTGCCTGGGAGCCAACTGAGTGTGGACTAAAACCTCCAAAAACTGTAAGAAATAAACCTTTCCTTTCCCAACTTGGGCTTCAGGTATTTTGTCTCAGCGACGAGTAAAAAATAACTGAGACAGTTGTGTACCCTAACTGGTACACAAATACTAAGCCCTCACATTTTAGTTTTATTATCACTTATAAAGTAACAGTTTCAAAGTGCCATGTTCAAACTCTTCTATTTTCCAACTAGAAAATTTTCATATCCAAAACTTTCTATAAATCCCAGAAATGAAATCGTATATTGTGATCTCAAAGGCTTACCAAGACAATTTTGTCTTTCTAAATAACAATTACAGCTTCATTTTCTTACAGCTTTCTTACAGCTTCATTTTTCCCAACCCTATGCCCAAAAGTGGATACAGGTGAGTCTGCTTCTTAAAACCAAATAAAAAGCATGCTGCCAAACGTCCTACATTCTCTGCCAGGTGTGGTAGCACATCCCTGTTATCTCAGCACGTGGGATGCTGAGGCAGGAAAATCGCAGTAATTTTGAGGCCCACCT